CCCCAAAACCCCAAAACCCCATTGGACAGAATTGATGAAATAAAATATAATCTATTATTTAATTATCATTTTGTTGACACGATATTGATCTTAGAATTCTACTACTAACTTGAATTTATTTGTCTGATTTCAAGTCTTGTTTTATCACTCATGCGACTAAAATCGTGTATATTAGTTCTAGATTATTTCAAAATAACTTTGGCTTTCAAGAATTAAACCTAATCCTGACTCTCATTTACTTCATTAAGATCTTTATTTAAGTTGACACTTCTTGTCTTCTTGGTCAACTCATATACTCCATCAATTTTACTTCCGAATTCATTATCAAACCCTAAGTCTCTTACTAAAAGTCCTCTTAAATCAATCTTGCAATCAAACGTAGTTCCTTTTTCATGCTAATTTTGCAGTATCAATAGCAAGTAATGGTTTTCACGAATAAGAGTTTCTATTTGCTAAAGATTGCCATCTAGTAATATCTCCTTAGTAGCTCCACCGAAATTTATCTGAGAGGTACCCTACTTCTAGGATTTCATGAGTTTTTAGAATATCAAAGAATTGAATAGTTTATAGTAAACTTGCCAGTCATTTGATTAAAAGTTTTAATCTCCCATGTATGCATTATCGATAACAATGTTTATTTAATAGGTTTAGATATTTGTCTGTTAAGATGATACAGAATGTCTCTCAGATTAAATCTTGGGATATCTATGAGTTTAGATCTATGTATCTCCAGTCATTAAGCTACCCCGACTCATTCCATCATATTACTTAGTCATATATAATTGTTGATTTTGTACACTAAAATCATTTTAGAGGCCTGCTCTAGTTTCGATTGGCGGGAGAGTCTCATTCTCAGAAAATTAGTTTTAAAGACGAACTTAATCGATTATCTATCTCTTTTACTTTTAAATTTGCTTTAGGTTAACTACAGTTGAGCTCTTTTTAAGCTTTTTAATTTATTTTTAGTTATCTATAATTGAGTCTACTTCCTATTTCTTCCATTTCATTACTTAAGTTAATCTATTCTGACTATATTATTAGTCAGCCTTCTAGTTTGAAGATAAGGATCTAGCATGAATATTTTAGCTTTACTAAATACTTTATCTCTCGCTGTCTATTCTGGGTTTAGATGTTAAAGGCCTTTAAATTTTTCTCACAATATTACTATCATTCTCTTTTATATTAAAAAAAGGCTTTATGTGAAATCTCTCTCTCAAATTTGAGGTTTGCTAGGGAGTTTACATCATCGATACAGATTAGCTTTAGGAGTGTCTTGGAAGGGGAGACTACTATTCATCTCTAATAGAAAAATCTCTCTTTACGATTGAGAGTCTGTTGAAAACCAAATTATCTGAGGATAAGGATCTCATATTTCTCGGACTATTTCTTGGAGAATCTAGAGTTGATTACCTTCCTGGATTATCATTCTTAGGAATTAAGGGCATCCATTCATCTAGTAGAAAATCTGATGCAAAGTAGTCCTCATTTGGTACATATATCTATAATTACAGTAATGAAATATAACACTAGCTTACTCCATTATAGTATTCTAGTTTGATTCTTGTTACATTTACTTAATGAGGAGTCATATCAATGCAAGCAATAGCTTTAATAAATACATCTTATCCTAGAAGCGGTACATTAAAACCCTTTCTAGTAACTAGCTCATTTTTAAAATCTTTAAGAGAGAAAGAAGCGGTTCCTAATTCTTTGATATCATTTTTTCCACCAGAGAGTTTAATCTTGATTTTCTATAAATAATGATAAAATTAAATAATACTCCGTCATGCTCTAGATACTTCTGTAGGCCCTGCCTCAAATTACTGAAAAAGTAATACAGTCTAACTTTATTAATTCCAACCTATTCATTTTATCTATCATAATTATTAGGCTTAATCTTTATTTTGCCTTTATATCTCATTAGCTCATATTCCAAATAAAGATAAGGGTACTTATCATAAAACTCAGGAGGTATTTGATGCAGGTCATAGAAGATAAGGAAAATCTTAAATCTATTCAGCTGCTTCGTGGGTAATGCTTTTGCTTCTTAATCGTCATTTTCAGAGGCAGTCACACTGAGCTTTCTATGAGAAGCAGGATTAGACATCCCACTTAAGAGAGTATTTGAAAGCTTCTAAGCAATAGAACTCTTGGTTTTTTCCACTATATTTTTACTTTCATTTTATTGCTTGAACATTGCAACCAGCAAATCACCTGATGATGCTTGTTTCTTGGAGGCATCACTGAAAATGACATTATTCTCTTTATCAACTCTTACTGGAATTCCAAGTGCTCTTGAGAGCTAGATTTACACTTGTTAAAGTTCATCAACTTCTTTGAAAATAGCATAGCAGTTTACGCAAGCTGAGAATGGCTTGTAAAGAGATATGTCCTCATACATTGACTCGTCGCCATGGTTCAACCATTCATAAAAATAACCAAGATTCATTAAAAGTCTCTCAGTCTTCAGTATCATTTTCAACGTTAGATTATAGTTTAATTCCTCCACAGGATAACCTATTTAGCAGAACCTGCATATTCTCAACTTAACATATTCTGTGGCTTTCTCTTGTAACTTCCTGTTCTTATTCTCTACCTACTCTTCATCATCACTGGGCATTAGATCATGAGAAGGCATAAATGCTTTGAATACAGGCTTTGCGTAAGATTCTTCCAGTTTAAATGCCTTAATACCAACAAGCCACCAAATGCCTGCTGGATCTTTAATAAAATCAGCAGCAAGTTCACTCATTTTTAAATTAGTATTTCTTTCTACAAACATTGCTATTTTTTAGGCGTTTTAAACAATTTGATCATAATTTTTATCTCCCTTGGCTTTGACGAATGAGCAATGAAGGGTATTATTGACCTTAGTCACATATCTATCTTAGAATTGTGGACATTATTCTTAATCTTTGAATCTAACCTTATTTGTTATAACCCAAGTGTAAGCTGGTTTATGCCTTCGCCAAACAGCACGACAAATAAAAGCGTAAGGTCCTTTGCTTCTTACAAATTTTTATATCACTGTTACGTCATTGGACTATTGCCCGTTTAAGGATATTGCTTTTTCTGTTAGGTATCTAGTGCTTAGTAACTCTATTTTGTTCCCATAAGGCTTTCCAGTCTTCTCATCGTAGTCTTATGATTTGACAACTGCTACTACTTCATCTATTCTTAATGGATTTCCTAATTTCTTTATAACATCTCTTTCATCGAATTTAGTTGCTCTTTGCACATATCCCTGATATAAAATATCATTGCAACTAAGTTATTACCTCATAAGTAGAATATAGCCAATAAGGTTCTTGAGCATCATTATACACAATTGTGTCAGGAATGTATAGCTGCAACTAATCAAACTTATTGCTTAATTGAGTGGTTTGTCGCTTTGCAAGAAACTTATAAAAATGCACAAATGGCATTATCTCTCCAACATACTCATAGCCTTGAATAAAGTTAATCTACTTTACTCTTTCCTTGTATGTCTTACGAGCCATCTTCTCTGCCCAACCTGTCCCCATTCTTATGATTTTTTCTCTAAATTTATCTTATAAAATGGATGTATTGATACGGCTTATCTGTATTGTGCACCATATCAAATTTTTCTTCTCTAGTGTGTAGGTAAGCACTCTAGCAGTCATTTAATAACAAAATAATATATTACGGGCTTCCCTCCAGTTTGATATTGAGTTTTATCATAAACATTTTTAGGTGAAAATGCACTAGGTCTCTCTCTGTGTTTCATTATTTTATGAAATTAATTGAATTTTATTTAAATAATTAATGTAATTTAATACTCTTAAGATTGTCTAACATTATATTAGGCACACTCTTTAATATATATTTTCAAAAATGCTTTAAATTTTGATTCGACAGCACCTTGCTCCAATGCATTGCCCCTACGTTGCTATTCTCAACTTCAGTGCTGCTCATTTCTCTCAGAATATGGCTGAAATTATCAATTTTGTCCTTTTTGAATGTAGGCATCATGAAATCTCCAAGATGCCAGTCTAAAACGATTCCCATCGATATCAAGCCTTCAATTTGCTTATCAGTTTAATCTATCTACTTCTGGAGAGTTATTGAGTAATTTTGTTTTTCATTAGATGATTTGAAGAAAGTTCTTATGCTCTTCTTTCCGCCTAATAGTTTATCTAACTCATTTTGCTAGCTTAGTTTCTTAGCACTCATTTTTTGAATAAGTAGTGTAAGCTAAGATCTCTAGTGGATAGCTTCTTAAAAAGCATTACAATCTAATATTTCACCTTTAACCCAGTAGTACAGGCTTGTGAATGGATTTCTAGTTTTTTCACACTATAATTGTTTAGTGATCTATATGTTCTTACCATATCTCTTAAGCTCTTGTAAAGATCATTAGTTGAGTCTCCTAAGATCATTTTCTACTAGTTACCATCCACATAGAAATTCAAACTTTTCTCCTCATACTTATTCAGAACAATGATTATTTACTCTGAAGCATTATAAATCATTTAAAGACTTACTTTAATTCTGAACTGCTTGATCCTATATCTCTGCTAATCCTTTCAGCTGTTTTCTGAGAGCTTTGTACTAAAGCAAAAGTTTCCTTAGAAAATTTTCAAATTCTAGTAGTTTTGTCTCATAGTCTTATTGCCGATCGGCTATTCGCTTAAACTGTACCTCATTCAAACCAAATGATTCGATATATTTAGCCCCCATTTCATCGTAATTAATCTTAGGCAACTTGAGTAGTTAAGATTAAACATCTGAATTGCCTCCGGTGAACTCTGGTCTTGCGAATATTCTAAACTCCTCAGAGTTCAAAAGATTTTGCTGAAGTGAAATTTGCTTTAAAAATCTCTCTAAATAGTATCTTCTTTCAATGATAAACTTCACATCTTTGTTGCCTACTGCCTTCTTAGGTGGAATAGCTGGAACAAAAACTCCAGGCCATCTGACACACAGAATGTTTCTTAGTTGATAAAACTCATTATATCTCCTCTTACCATCAAATTATCCTAGAGAGTCCTCCCCATTGATGTGATATGTAACATATTTGTTATTGATTAGAGCTGGCTGAATAACCTCAAACCTAGTATTACTAGTCATAATGCCATAGTGTGGTATCCTGTACTTCTAAAGCAAGTCTTCAACCATCTAGCTAAATCTTGTTGAATTATATCCTCCGAGTGTCTTCTCACTCATTGCTCTCTAATTAACTAGCTCAGTACCAGATGCCATGTTCTACTACTCTGCATTTAAACTAAACTCATCATTCTAAGTTTCCAATCTGTCATCAATCTAATTTTTGTCAGAAAATTGCATGTCATCAATGCTTTGATCATCATAATTTCTAGGAGATTTTTCCTCTTCATCATTCGAATACTCACTCATTTTATCTTAATTCATTCAATTATATATTATTTTACTATTCTCTTTTGACTGCAAATAATCAAGACTGTCGGGGTTTTGGGGTTTTGGGGTTTTGGGG